TTGTTGTCTGCACCTCCCATGTACCTCTCTATATCTTCCTTTTCCTCAATGCCACCATGTTGATCACTCACATTTGGTACATTGCCCTTCTCTTCACCCAAATCAATACTTATCTCTACCTATCTAACAGTGTTCCATCCCCTCACCTCCCACCTTTTGTAAACAACAAAGAAAATTTCCTTCCATAGATAAACCTTTCCTTGACTTTTACAATAATGGACTAATACAGTATTTGACCTTCTGTGATGGACTTATTTCACTCAGCATAATGTCCTCCAAGTTTATCCACGTTATGTGGTGTTTTGCAGATTCTATGTTATTCTTTAGGGTTGCATAGTATTCCATCATGTGTATGTACATAGTTTGATTATCTGTTCCTCGGTTGATGGACACTGAGGTTGTTTCCATCTTTTGGCTATCGTAAATAGTGCTGCGATGAACATGGGTGTGCATATGTCTGTTCTTATCATGGCTCTCACTTCTTTAGGATATATACCTAGTAATGGAATGGCTGGGTCAAGTGGAATTTCTAATTCCAACTTCTTAAGAAGTCGCTGTACTGCTTTCCACAGTGGTTGTACCATTTTACATTCCCACCAGCAGTGTATGAGAGTCCCAATCTCTCCACATCCTTGCCAGCATTCACATCATCTGATTTCTTGACTGATGCTTCCATTGGTGTTGATTGTGGAACCAAGTAATATGAAATCTTTGTCAACTTCAATCTTTTCTCCATTTATTGCGATGCTGCATATTGGTCCAGTTATGAGGATTTTTCTTTTCTTTATATTGAGGTGTAATCCATACTGCAGACTGTAGTCTTTAATCTTCCTCAATAAGTATTTCAAGTCATCCTCCCTTTCAGCAAGCAAGGTTGTGTCATCAGCATATCGCAGGTTGTTAATGAGACTTTCTTCAATGTTGATGCCATGTTCTCTCCATATAGTCCCGCTTCTCAGATTATTTGCTCAGCATATAGATTAAATAAGAATGGTAAAAGGATACAACCCTGATGCACTCCCTTCCTGATTTAAAACCAGGCAGTATCCCCTTGTTCTGTTCAAATTACAGCCTCCTGGTCTATGTACAGGTTCCTTATGAGCACAATTAAGTGTTCTGGAATTCCCATTCTTCTCAATGTTATCTGTAATTTGTTATGATCCACATGATCGAATGCTTTTGCATAGTTAATAAAACACAAATAAACATCTTTCTGGTATTCTTTGCTTTGAGCCAATATCCATCTGGCATCAGCAGTGATATCCCTGATTCTGCATCCTCTTCTGAATCCAGTTTGCATTTCTGGAAGTTCTCTGTCAATATACTGCTGCAACTGTTTTTGAATTATGTTCAGTAAAATTTACTTGCATGTAATACTAATAATATTATTAGTATTACACTAATAATTATTAGTGTAATACTAATAATAATATTGTTTGATAATTTCCGCATTCTGTGGTATCACCTTTCTTTGGAATGGGCACAAATATGGATCTCTTCCAGTCATTTGGCCAGGTAGCTGTCTTCCAAATCTCTTGGCTTAACTGCGTGAGTGCCTCCAGTGGGGCATCTGTTTGTTGAAACATCTCAATGGGTATTCTGTCAATTCCTGGAGACTTGTTCTTCCCCATTTCCTTCAGTGCAGCTTCAGCTTCTTCCTTCAGTACCATTGGTTCTTGATCATGTGCCACCTCCTGAAATGGATGAGCATCGACCCATTCTTTTTGGTACCATGACCCTGTGTATTCCTTCCATTTGCTTTTGATGCTTCCTGCATCATTCAATATTTTGCCAATAGAAACTTTCAATATGGCAACTCGAGGCTTGAATTTTTTCTTCAGTTCTTTCAGCTTGAGAAATGCCAAGCTGTTCTTCCGTTTTGGTTTTCTAACTCCAGAACATTGCACATTTCATTATAATAATTAACTTTGTCTTCTCCAACTGCTCTTTGAAATCTTCTGTTCAGCTCTTTGATCTTGTCATTTCTTCCATTTGCTTTAGCTATTCTCCATTCAAGGGCAAGTTTCAGAGTCTCTTCTGACATCCATTTTGGTCTTTTCTTCCTTTCCTGTCTGTTTGCTTTCTTCACAGATGATGTTCTTGATGTCATACCACAGTTATCTTGTTTTCAGTCACTGGTGTTCAGTGTGTCTATTCTTTAGATAGTCTCTCAATTCAGCAGGGATATAATCAAGTTCATATATTGGCTCATGGACTTGTTTTAATTGTCTTCAGCTTCAATTTGACCTTGCACATGAGCAGCTGATGGTCTGTTTCACAGTCAGCTCCTGGCCTTGTATTGGCTGAAGATACTGAGCTTCTCCATTGCCTCTTTCCACAGATAAAAGATACTGAGCTTCTCCATTGCCTCCTTCCACAGATGTAGTCAATATGATTCCTGTGTACTACATCTGGTGAAGTCCATGTGTATAGCTATCATTTATGTTGTTGAAAAAAGGTATTTGCAATGAATAAGTCATTGATCTTTTTTTTTTATTGTGATTTGGGTGAAGATTTACAGAGGAAATTCACTTTCTATACAGCAGTTCACATACACTTTGTCTCATGACATTGACCACAGTTTACTACAATGCAACAGCTCCCCTCCCACTTCCTCCCTATAGTTACCTCTTCCCAGTTTCCATCCCTCCATACACTTCTGCCCCCTGAGCTGTCTCCCTGTGCATAAGCAGCCCTTCTTTCTCCCATGATTGTTCTCTCCAAGGAGTGTATCTACCTGAGGTAAAT